GCATCAGAAAGAAGGCGCAGCTCCACAGCTGCGGAATGAAGCTGATCTTGGAGAGGCCCTCCGGGTAGGCGATAAAGGCGAGGCCCGGGCCGCCGGTGACCACGTCCTCAATCTTCTCGCCATTCTCGTGGGCCATGTTGCCCAGGACGGCGAAGATGACGCAGCCGGCGAGCAGACTGGTGAAGGTGTCCAGCAGGCTGATGATGATGCAATCGCTAAAGAAGAAGAAGATTAGAACCCTTTTAAAACTCCTCAAATCAAAACTATGGCCGTTTCCAGAAGCTTACCGACTGACATTGTTGTTAAAGTCATTGTAGCTGCTGTACATCACCAGCGAGCCAAAGCAGACGGCCAGCGAGAAGAAGGACTGCTCCACGGCGCGGTACCAGACGATCGGATCGAGGAGCTTCTCAAATTGGGGCGTAAAGAAGAAGGCGATGCCCGCGAGGGCGCCCTCCTGAAACAACGAGACGACCAGCAGTGCCACCAGTACCACGTACGGGAAGATGGCGGTGAAGTAGGCCACCTGTAAACAGAAAAATCAAGTTAGAAACTTCCTGACCAAAACCTCCCAACCACCCACTTACCTTTCCCAGAGAGGTGACGCCCTTGACAATACTGAGGTAGACCAGCGTCCAGGCGCCCAGCAGGCAGAGGACCAGCTTCCAGCTGACCGAGTTGACGTCCCACAGCCCTCGAGACTCATTCAACACCTCCCGTTTGTNCCTCCCAACCACCCACTTACCTTTCCCAGAGAGGTGACGCCCTTGACAATACTGAGGTAGACCAGCGTCCAGGCGCCCAGCAGGCAGAGGACCAGCTTCCAGCTGACCGAGTTGACGTCCCACAGCCCTCGAGACTCATTCAACACCTCCCGTTTGTAGTACAGCTCCGCCCAGGTCTGGTTTTGGAAGTTCGTCGCCGTGGAGTTTTCCGTACAGTAGCCGGAGTACTCCGCGGGGATCCAGTTCTCATTGCAAACCGTCCAGGGGAGCTTCGAGGCGAAGGAGGCGAAGAAGTAGAAGAGCGAGACGCCCATGAGGTAGTTGTAGAAGATGGCCACGTAGGAGACGGAGATGAGCTGCGCAAAGCCGACGCCCTTCAGCGCCGGCACGCACTTCCACATCTTGATCGGCCCGCGGCCGCTGAACTGACCGACAATCAGCTCCAGGTAGTAGATCGGCCGGCCGACGAGGAAGAGCAGCAGCAGGTAGGGAATGAGGAAGGCGCCTGAAAATTTAGAAAAGGGGTCAAAAGTTATCGAAATCTTTGAACATTTCCAGCACTTACCGCCGCCATTTTGGTAGGCGATATAGGGAAAGCGCCAGACGTTGCCCAGGCCGACGGACATCGAGACGCAGGAGAGGAGAAACTCGATGCCATTTGTCCATTTGCCACGATGTTCAGTACCGCCTCCTTCCGCTGAAGTTAGGTTTAGTTTCTAAGATGAATTAAAAGAGGCTTAAGGTTGAGTTTTTGATAATGACTCAATTGACTGATTACCTCATTGGTCGTCGAGCCGCTGGTGGAGCCGCTCTCCGCGGCATCTTCGCTGCTCTGCGGCCGTCGTCGCTCGACAAGGCCATTGGCTCTGCCATTCGAAGCATCCTTCAAACAAAATAAGTTGAATGAAAAATTGGAAAATTTAAAAACTGATCCAGGAATAGCAGCAGCAGGACAATTTATGACCTCTACTACAGCTAATCAATTGTACAACAAATTAGCCGTCGTCAGGTTGCGTCAGCGTTATGTAACACACAAGAAGAAGGCCTCCGAGAAGGCAGGCGAACAAATGAACGAAAATCACAATTTCGTTCACAGACTGTCCTCAGACTCGTACTAATAATNCGTCGTCAGGTTGCGTCAGCGTTATGTAACACACAAGAAGAAGGCCTCCGGGAAGGCAAGCGAACAAATGAACGAAAATCACAATTTCATTCACTGTCCTCAGACTCGAACTAATAATAGTAATGGTATACATCAACACAAGCATTTACCTGGCCATACTCAGGGTGATCCGTCATCGTTCAAATTTTTTGTGCACACTTCAGAGGAAGTGCAAGCACACTTGTGTTTCACTTCCCGGTGGCACTGAGGTTGAAGTGCTGCTGCTGCTGCTGCTGTTCAAGGTGAACTGCGGAGAATAATGACAGCTCTTGTTGAGGAGAAGTGTCGATTGGTGGTGGTTATGTAATACGAGGAAGAGAAAAGGTGAGTGAGTGAGACAGGAAGGTCGAATCACGTGTCGGCGGCGATGCTCAGTAATCCTTGGTAGAGCTGATGATGATGTAAGTTACGTAAGGAGAGTGAAGATAATGGTCGATAAGGGCAGAGTAAAGTTGGTAAAGCACAATTGTGTGTGTGTCCACTTTAGAAGAGCTTCAGGTAGAATGAATCAGNGCGGAGAATAATGACAGCTCTTGTTGAGGAGAAGTGTCGATTGGTGGTGGTTATGTAATACGAGGAAGAGAAAAGGTGAGTGAGTGAGACAGGAAGGTCGAATCACGTGTCGGCGGCGATGCTCAGTAATCCTTGGTAGAGCTGATGATGATGTAAGTTACGTAAGGAGAGTGAAGATAATGGTCGATAAGAGCAGAGTAAAGTTGGTAAAGCACAATTGTGTTCACTTTAGAAGAGCTTCAGGTAGAATGAATCAGAGTTGGACTGATGATGATGTCTTCAGGACTGCTGCTGATGCTGTGGTTGTTGAACGGAAGATGATTGAGAAAATTGGGGAAAGGCAGTCGCATCAATAGTCAATCTAGAAGTTCCGATGGAGGAAGAGAGAGATNATGGTCGATAAGGGCAGAGTAAAGTTGGTAAAGCACAATTGTGTGTGTGTGTTCACTTTAGAAAAGCTTCAGGTGAAATGAATCAAAGTCGGCCTGATGATGATGTTTTCAGGAGGACTGCTGCTGCTGTTGTTGCTGGACGGAAGATAATTGAGAAAATTGGGGGAGGGCAGTCGCATCAATAGTCAATCTAGAAGTTCCGATGGAGGGAGAGATGTGTGATTAAGCGCGAAAAACAAAGCAAAAAAATAGTGCACCGAGCAAACAGGTTTCCGGTGCCGGTGGTGCTCCACTACCAATCAAGAATGAAAAGATAATGCACACAGAGACAGACAATGAAATTAGCTGACAGAGGAGACTGTAGAGGACTAGGACTGACATCGAAAAGCAGACATCGGCGGCGTTGCCTTTTTATGCAGTCATTAGTAGTAGGGAGAGAGAGTAGTAGACAGACTGTGTGCACAGACTGTTCATCTGTTGGATGCTCTCTCTGTGCACATGATTGGACCNGCTGCTGCTGCTGCTGCTGCTGATGCTGGACAGAGAATGATTGAGAAAATTGGGAGAGGGCAGTCGTATCAATAGTTCATCTAGAAGTTCCGATGGAGAGAGATGTGTGATTAGTGCGAAAAACAAAGCAAAAAAATAGTGCACCGAGCAAACAGGTTTCCGGTGCCGGTGGTGCTCCACTACCAATCAAGAATGAAAAGATAATGCACACAGAGACAGACAATGAAATTAGCTGACAGAGGAGACTGTAGAGGACTAGGACTGACATCGAAAAGCAGACATCGGCGGCGTTGCCTTTTTATGCAGTCATTAGTAGTAGGGAGAGAGAGTAGTAGACAGACTGTGTGCACAGACTGTTCATCTGTTGGATGCTCTCTCTGTGCACATGATTGGACCACGACTACGACTACCACTGATGCTGATGCTGCTCACACACCGTTTATTACCTGTAAAGCCGACAAAGAGAGAAGAAGAGATGGAGTAAAGGAGAAGGTGCATCAACGGGGGTGGAGATCACATCCCATCCCCAGTGCGCATTCAGTGCTCTTTATGGCAACTTTGGGCAGAAGAATGCCTGTCTGCTAGTGCTTTTGATTTCCACTGAACAAGAGTGACACTGCCGCTGGACACACTATCGATGACCCAGTCAGTCATTGTGGATATCCATGGAGTGTCACATGTGTACTGGTGAAACAAAAAAGGTATCNACAAGAGTGACACTGCCGCTGGACACACTATCGATGACCCAGTCAGTCATCGTGGAGTGTCACATGTGTACTGGTATTAAACAAAAAGGTATTGGTGACAAAAGTAGTGTGTGTTTGCTGGTGGTTGCATAAGCATAATTTGTTGCACAGGTGAGCTCAACCGAAGAGCCGGCACTTCTGTGTGCGAGTGTGTGTGTGTTGTCCGGTGCTTGACCTACTCTGACAGGTGTGGGGGCTCTACCAGGACATCATGGTTTTCCATTGATACAATTGTAATGAGTCCCATCAGGTAGGCACACATTCTCGAGTGGAATCGGAATCAACAGAAAGTCATAGTCTTACTTAAGTGAGAGTTCATTCACTCAAGAGTAGTAATGAACGAGTGCACTCAGTCTGCGCAATCTGAAGTGCATCGGTGGAAAGTGCCGGTTACATAACTGTGTAACTTTGACCGGCACAAAAAAAGAAGGACACTTTGACACTGCTGCTGGTGAACCAGTGCAAACACAGAAAGTCACACTCATGTACTGAAGGTGTCCTTCCCTTCACACTCCTTTTCTTACATCATTTTGTACGACAGCGGAGCAACAAACAGCTGTCAGCTGCCGTACATCAGATGATGGTGCTAATTTCTCTGGAATTAGCACTGTTT